GCAAGTGTTGGGCTTGCGTTGAGGCCACAAATGCAGAGTGGGCCAATCCTTGTAGAAGTAGTCGAAAGACACAAAGCATCGCAAGCTAGAAACGTCAAAAGTTTCAAAACAATGCCTGATACTTCCGATGTGACACCTTGGATCCGCTTGGACAGACAATTCGTGCATAAACCGTTACAATGTGCTGCGAAGAAAGTGGCATTTAAGAACTGGTGCAAACGGCGCCGCGTGAAGTGAATTGGTCCAATTTGTGCATGAGCCGTTACGATGTGCTACTAAGAAAGTGGCAGATGAGAATTCGTGCCGAAGGCACCGCTTTGAGTGATTTGGGTCTTTCGACTTTTTGAGTTTCGTTTTGTGTGGGTTTCGGGTGACTCGTGGTCACCGTGACTTTTCGGCCAAAGGCCTTCGTCTCTGTCATATAGGCGACATGGATTGGGCATGCATCACAAGAGGGTGCAGGTCTGCAATGAGGAAAAAAATGAGTGGGCGGACGATTTGAGCAGAAATCGCCTTGCGCGTTTCGTGCACCGCCCTGCGGATCGCGTGCGTTTCCTGCGGGCCTTGCGAAGGCAGGTAGAGGCATCACATTGTGCCCAGCAGAAGCGCCATGGCGCCCAGAACATCTGGCCGCCGCTGCATGGAATTTGGATCAGGCAGCCAAACCTGCCCCTGCATGATCCGGAGCTGACAAGAGTCACCTCTTCACAGCTGCGCACTTTGCCCTCCCAGGGCAGCTCTGAACAGAGCCACGTAGGACCCGAGCTGTGTCCTGCACGCGCGCCTGCGCAGCCAGAACACCTAGATGCGCGTGCAGAGTTTGAGACCGAACTCAACCCATCAGGAAAATAGTTTCCTGCGAAGGTGCATTTGGCGAACCAAGGGAGTGCCATGCAAGGAGTGCCTTCGCATTGCACTGAAGAGGGGGACTTTGCGCCTTGGCCTCAATCGCCTTTTCATTGGGAAGCACTGAAGGAGGAGAATACCTTGCCCCTTGTCCTGGGTGCACCGCAGTGCCCCAGGAAAGTGCCACCTTCCCAAGCAACCCGGTCAAAAAGGTGTGCGCCATTGCGGTCGGCTTTTGGTTCTGGGTTATGGGTGATTTGAGGCTAGGAGCAGTGCGCGGGACCTTTAACGTAAGTTTATAGGTCTGGGGTGAATCTCCTACGCCGCTGCCGTGTTGTGCTCCTAGCCCTCCAACTCACGAATAGGACTCGCAGTCCTGGTTTCGTTTGAAACCCACCCACCGCCATTGCGGTCGGCTTTTGGTTCTGGGTTATGGGTGATTTGAGGCTAGGAGCAGTGCGCGGGACCTTTAACTGTGTAGCGCAAGTCTAGTGCGCGGCTCCGACTGGAAAATCGCAACTTTGTAGTACAAGTTTAGTGCGAGGTGCAGGTGTGCAGCCTCAGCAGGTTTCCAACTTTAGCTGGAAAATCGCAACTTTGTAGCACAAGTGTAGTACGCAAAGTACAGGCTTCCTTCTCCGGCTGGACCATCGCAACTGTGTAGCGCCAGTTTATTGCGCGAAGTACAGTTTTCCAGCTCCGGCTGGAAAGTCGCAATTTTGTAGTACAAGTCTAGTGCGCGAAGCGCAGGTGTCCAGCTCCAATTTGAAAGTCGTAGTTTTGCAGCAACAAGTCGAGTACGCAAAGTGCAGTTTTACAAGCTGAAAAATCAGCGACTTGATTGCGAGCCCCATTCCCTTATACCGAAAAATGTTCTCCCCAATTATTTTGTTGGGTTTGCGCAAGTGATGTGTGTTCGGGTTCGTGGGCTCTGTGTTGTCTTCATGTCGATGACTTTCTTATGGTTGGCAACGATGTGTTCAAAAAAGAAATCATGGGCCAGCCTTTTAGGTTGGTTCTGAAGATAAGAACGATGGCTTTTTCGTAGGTCAACGCACCCAGTGGAAGAAAGACGAGAAGCACGGTCGTTACATCAATGTCCATCAGAATGTCGCCACTGATGAGTTTCAGGAGATCACCTTTGAGAAGAACCTGACCCTTAATCCGCAGGCGCAAGCCTACCAAAGCGTATTGGGTCAGATACATTCGCGAACTCAGTTCCACATCAGTTCTCAGATTTCTCGTTGCGCGTCGCGAGCAGCAGCACCGACCATTGCGGACGTTCGCGCCAGTAATAAGACCGTCGAAACCATCAGCTGCTTCGTGGAAAAACAAGCATTGTCGGTTTCCCTGACGCGTCCCCATCGCAACAATTGTCATCGCAAAGAGCGCGTTATTTTTTGGCGGAAAACGAGATGTTTGCAAAGAGTCATCAAACTCGGGATCGTGCGTGAGGTTGCTCTCGCAGTCGCGCTGCGCGTTTTCTTGGCACCCTCGGACTTAACACTTGCAACTTTCGAGCTGGAGTTGGAGAAGTGTTCTACTTTTGTACTTGACACTTGCGATTTTCAAGCTGCGTGACTCGCGCAGTGTCGTTGAACAAATTGCACGAATGCACTTCGCTCATGCTCAACTGCGACTTTTGAGCCTGAGTTGCATACGTGTGCTTCGCGCAAACTTTTTGAGCCGGAACTGCTTTTTTTCTTGAGGGGAACGGTGCGTTTTGCAGTGCTTTGCTGCCCTGCGTCGGGCCAGGCCTGCGTTGTAGCACCCTGTTTGCTGACGCAGTTGCGGCTGTCCCTACATGTCCTTTTTTGGATTGTGTGGTTTGTACATGGCAGATCGTGTTCACAGGCACTGGCTGCGAGGTGCAAAAATATGTTCTGTGGAGGGGTTAAGAGTTTCAGATACACGGTGTGTCCAATCAATCGCATGAGAAACGTGACGGTGTTCCTGGATTTGCCCGCGAGACGCAAACCGCATCGGGATTTGGGTAGGTGTCAAAGCCCTGTCACAAATTTTGGATTTGCTCGCTGCACTCCTTTTGCTCCTTCGTCCTCTGCAAACTTTGCGGCCACCGCCAATTGTCGTGCTAGCTCATGGAGGGATGGAGCAATATCGAAACGGCTTCCGTAAGTTGTGCAAGAAGGGGACAGATTCTCATGTTTCCTCGCACATGTTTGAAACTGTTTGCAGTAGTTGTCCCACATAGTCTGCGACAGGCAGCTTTACACAACCGATTTCGCCATGTTGGCCAGAAAGTGGCCCTGTCGCTGAAAATGGCATGTTTGATGCTTTCAGCAACCTTCCTTCTTGCTAGACTCCATCACAAAGTCTCGAATCTGCAATGGTCTGCAGCAGCCATCCACGTCCACAGTTGTGAGTAGTTTGTAAACTCAGGGAGTGTCAGAATTGATACGGCTTTGAGGGAACCCGCGCTCTGGCCAACATATTTTGAGGCAAGGAGTTTGCAGGTCTGTTTCACTTTTGTCTTTGATGAGGGCAACCATGTAAATAGCTTTAAAAAGGCTAGCGGATCTGGGAGGTCCTGTTTTCAGCCTCCCAGCTGGCGGCTTCGTTTTGTAAGAATTGCCGCCCCACAGAAGGCCTTTCGATTTGTACTAACTCAGATTCATCAAATGTTCTGCTTCAATCTCATTTGACGGCAGCTTAGGAGCTCAGTACGGAAGTCTTGGCCACACCTCCCGCTCCGCACAGCCTGCGCCTCGTGAAGACTACGTCAGTTGTGGATGCCGTGGGTCTTGTCTAGCCACAGAGGAACAAAGATGTTTCTCAAGCCGAGCAACTCAAGATTGAGCAAGCACATGTGTTATTCGTAGCTGCGCCTGGGAGGTGTGGATGATTCTCCACAGTCGGAACCAAGTGCCTGACGTTGCCGGACTGTACCATGCGTTACGGATGGGGCAGGTCCAAGGAAGGCGCAGCGGTGCCAAAGATGCTGCTGGGACTGCATGGGAAGCTTGTCTTGCATTCCTCCATGCAGAAAGACCGAAGGCGAACACGCGCCGAAGGCGGCATCAATGCTCTTGTGGGCCTGAATTGCTGGCACGTTACTTGCGTTTTGTGTTTTGCCTCCATTCGGAACATCCATGTAATCACGGTGTCGATGAGGAGGGCCTCTGAGCCAGACGGTCCCAATCTCTTGCCCCGACCCAACCAGCGACCATCACTCAAGCAGCCCCGTTTTTGGTTGAGTCTGCTTGACCCGTCGCACAGTCCGAATGAAGGCCAAGCATAAGCACATTGCAAAAACCCACCAGTGACAGGCCCTCCTCTGCAACAAAAACGCCACAGGGTAGGTGCAAGTTGAGGCAGGCAACGAGCGCGCTTGGCCCCGTTCTTGCTCATGTTTCTGAACCCGCGGAAGCTAAAGCCGGAAAAGGAGCGTTGCAAGATCTTAGCTGAGCTGGCTGCAGAATGGCACTCTTTCTGCTCCGAAGGGATTCACTGCGCCGATGCGCCAACTCATCAGCCGCTTCAAGGACGAGTGCCGCGAACATGGCGAGTTCCGTTTCATTCGTAGCTCGTGGCTCCGAAAAACAGTGGTGCCGGCTTCCTTACGGAAAGCCCCTCAGCATGGACATGAACTCTTTTCGGGGAAAGGCGAGCTGGCAAGTCCTTCTCTCTTTGCTTCTGAGGCATCAAATACTTGACCACCGCAATTGCCCGTTGCTTCCATGCTTTCGGGGCATTTGCTGGATCATGTGTTTTTGATCACCATGTGTCTGCCGCATTGGTTGGCCTGTTGCGTTCCCCGTTGCGTCTCAGGCATTCATTGCAGGACGACGAATGCCAACGTGCCCGCATTTTTTTGTCATCGTGTCTTTGAGCTTTGTTTTGATCGCACTTGCTCGATCATGTGTGGTGTAGTGTGATCAGGCGTTTTGTGTTTCAAACTTGATGCTTCCTAACAAACCACGTGCTGGTTGATTGCATCTTGAAATGGCATCTTGAAAGCGACATTCCCATGGTTTGCCAGTCTGGGGTTGCTGCTTCAGGCTCGGGTAGCGCATGCATGAGCCTCAACAAAAAGTAACTGTGAGTTTCCCGTCCAGCATGTGGGTCTGGCAATCGAACACATGAGGGCATATAAACATTGAAAAGCAGAAAGGGCATCTTTCTCATTTCAGATCTGGCATATCTCTTGAAGGTTACTATGGCCTCATGACGCCTTGCCTGCAATGAAGGCTGGGTTGAAGGTCTGGATGGACAATTGTGATTTGTTGAAACAGCCGTTTCCGGGCCACCTTGAAATGGGAACCAAAAGGATGATGGTTTTGAGTAGACCATTTTAATACCGTTTTTTGATTTTGACTCACATGAAAAGGAGTGATGTTTCACAAGGTGTGATTCAAACACTGGCTTTGCCCATCCCGTACAGCATGTTTCAATGTTGTCCTTTTCCACGCGATGCGCGATTTTGCAGCTCTTGAATGTTAGCTTCTGGGGCTTGCAGCAAGCGCTTGTCCTGGCTGCAAGACGGAATCAATCCGCATGTTTTCTGGAATGCGAAAACCACGTGATGGTTGCCTTGAGGCGGAACTATGCACCGACCTGAAGCTTCAGGAAGTGCTGGGACTGGGAACTGGAATCGGATCTGGGTTTTGACACTTGCCCTACTTCTGCAAGCCGGCAAAAAACGCAATGGACTATGTCATTTCGAGAGTTGCCTGTCAAACTTGATGGCGCAGAAGACCCAGCAATTGTGGCTCTGTGGGTCGTGGAGAGCAGACGGTAAGTTAATCAATCAACGCAGAATCTCATTGCCTGCGGCTCTTGTCAGTTTGAGCCAGGCCGTGCCTCCCAGCAAGAACCCAGCCGAGCTCTGCCAGGTGGGTGGCTGGCAAGCCCTGGAGGGGCAAAGCGCCGTGGAGGCCAGTCCAAGGGTTTCGAGTGGGGAACTAAGACCTCGGGATTTGGGTCTTCAACCACCCACCAGGGGACCGCAGGTTTTGGCCCACTTCTCCATTTACCAGGGCAACCCATTTTGGGCACCTATTTTTTTTTGACCCAGCCACATCGGGGTTTGCCGCAACTGCTCCTGGCTCCGTGTGAACTGCAGGCTCTGCATCGCAGCGACGAGTGGCGAGAGCAGTACCAGCTGGTGCAGAAGGCAGAATGGTTCGTCCATGCAGGGCGACCCCAACAGCCTGCCAAACAGCAATTTCATTGCTGATCAGATAAGCTCTGGAATTAACAGGCTGACCTGCTGATTTCCTTGCTTTGATTCTTGGTTGGCTTAGTGGGCTTTGGCTTAGTGGGCTTAATTTCAAAGGATGTCGGTGATCAATTGGCCTTCGACATTTGAGCAAGACACATTGACCACCGCGCTAGCAAATTGGTGACGGTAGTTCTACATGGCAAAGTTGATTGATGGCGTCTCCATGTAGGGGCTTCATGACTTTCTTGTCGTTTCAGCCATTTACTTAAGTCGGAGTCTCAGTGGCCATGCCTTTTCTTCCAGCAATCTTTCCCAGCTGTAGATCTGGATGATGCTTGCTGAGGCAAAAACAACACTGGATTTGGGGTTGGTGCGCAACTACCAAAACGCCGATGCTGCGATTGGCGCAAAAGATGCTTAGGACGGCCTCGCGCTGCAGTCTGCGCCCTGGAGCCTTCGCGGGGGCCTAAGTCTGGCAGTTCAAAAACGAGGAGCAGTTTTCCTTTGGTTGGCTCAAAAGAGAAGGCGAGAAAGGACTTTTTTTTCACGCAAAAAAAAGGCACCGGCGGAATCAGTTGCTGAAAGTCGCTTTTCTTGCTTCAAGGATCACCGAAATTGCAGCAATGGGACAGCAAGGTAACGGGGCGCAGTGTCTTTAGTAGAATGCCAACTCACGAAATCCACGAAATCCACCTTGCTTTCAACTTTGACCCTGGGCCTGGCCCTCTTTGTCGACATGTTCAGCTGGGGATCTCTTGTTACCAAGGGAACAGAAACAATGAGGTGAAGTTCCGTTGCTCATACCCATCTTCACTTGGAATCGCCAGAGCGGCCAGAAGTCAGAGAGTGGGAGGACATCACACCACGCAAACTCTTCCTCCTCCACATCAGGTAGCACGACTGCGGCAGGCGTCAACTTGGCATTGCAGCTTCCATGCTATGCTCTGCAGCTTTTGCCACGAGGATGGCAGAATGCCAAGGTTGGACAAAGACCACGAGACATGGCTATTGGCAATTAAATCCACCTGTTGCAAGAGCAGATCTCGTCAACTTCCCCTATCAAGACTTGGGCCTGCCTCCTTTTGGCGGGTAACCCATCCCCTTGTTGCGTTTGGTTTATTCGAGCCAAAAGGAACACCGCCAGTTTGGGGGACCTCAAAAAGCGACACACCCAAATGGCCGTGGGTCTGGGGTAGGTACCCATTTTAGTCTATTTTAGTGGGATTGGGATGTTCACTGGGGGTACGGGGAATGACCCATGGCCAAATGAGCTTGCCCTAGCTTCTATCATGCGCGGCCTGGTGGTGGGCCAAGCTCCTCCTCTACCGCCCGAGTCTTGGCAAAAATATTCTTGGCGCAGGTGGAGGAGATGTTTCTCCGTTTGGTTTTGGGGTTGATCAATGTTCCCTTAAAGGGGAGCTTTTTTTTCTTTTCTTTTTTCCCACGCGTGGTTGAAGTATGAAATCTTTTGGGTGGCTTTCTCCAATGGTCATCCTATGCAAAGGACCTTTTGATCAACCCCCTTTTGTCCATGCTGCCATTTTGCGGCACTTGGCCTGATGCCGATAATTCAACACTTGCAAGGTGTCGTTTTTTCCCCCCCCCCCCTCCCAGCTGACCTGAAGGACAGACAGAGGCTTCCCAACCAGTTGTTTTGTTTTTTCTCCCAGCTGACATGAAGGATTTGCTTAATGAGATTCGTGTTGATCCTGGCACAGCCTCGAATCCTGACACTGACTTGCAGCAGAGGGGCTGGGACAGCGCAGCGAAGCCTCTCAAATGGCCAACGCAGCGAGCCCTCCCTCCATTTGCCTTCTGAGATTTGGTCTCTCGCATGAATTGGTCAACACATGATGAGCGCACTATTTCTGTTACTTATAGATAAGCGAGAGACTTGTGTTCTTCCTCTACTTGTCCGATGTTTTGCAGAAACATTGTCATTGCACATCAATGCAGATGTCCATAGGTTGCCATGCACTCATGTGGAGCTTCCATGCCCACGACATACCAGAAGGAAGGATTTTGCGCGTTTAATGAGCTTTGAAGTCCCAGGCACCAACCTCCACCAAAGATGAGTTTGTCTGTTTGGATTTTGCCCCTCGGCGACCCTGCTCTCGGGCTTTTAAATCAACAAATCGTCACGAGGAGCAGCTTCCTGCCAGCTACCAGCCGCTTCAAGGCTGGCGCCACATGGAGTGTTTTTTTTTTGTTTGCCGGGCAGCAGGATGCTTTGGGGCCCCGCACGGTGTCACTGCCAAGTAAAAGGTAAGCTGTGTGGATACGCATGGACGTGGCTATGGGTTGAGCTACTGTGCGACAGGTTTGGCTCAACCGCGGGCTTGAAACAAGCTCCATTTGGTTTTCCAAAGGGGGTCAGAGGTTGGTCAAAACTACCAGTAGATGGTTCATTGGGATTTGGGAGGGACATTGGGGGACTCACCAAGTCACCAAGTCAAAATTACACCACGACAAAAAACGACGGGGTTTTTGTCTACGTTTTTACATTTCCTTATAGGTTTTTACTGTGGGGTCGCCGTATGCCTGTCCCAGCCAAGTCTCGAAGTCACCAGTCGCCGCCCTCTTCGCATGTCTCGGGGCCGCCATTTCGGGCTGGTGTTAGGTGCGCCTGAACGGCGCCTGGCGCGGCTGGCGGGGCTGTCGCTGGAGGAGCTGTGGCAGCTCTTCGAGCGTCTGGATCTTCTGGGCGCTTTGGCAGGGGACAAGGGGTGGGGGGGGCTGGGGGAGGGGGGTTTGGTTTCTGTGGGCTCGGGGTGAGTTTTTGAGGGGAGAGCATGTTGATACTTGTTGTTCTGTTTTTCAAAGAAGGGGGGAGGGGGTGTTTGTTTCCTTTTTCCCTCAATGATACGGGTTTGATTATTGTTTTGGCCAACATGACGGCTGGAAGGTCGGAAGGCCAATTCTGCTTTGGCAGGCTTAGGGATGGTTCCCCGGAGGTGTGTTGGGGATATTCCGAGTTTTCCGTTGGCGGAGAACAATCTGCATCATGACACGGATGCGGCAAGAACGTTCTTGTCCCGAAATGATGGCAGCAACCAAAAAGGTTGGCCTTCAATCTCACGACTAGACAGAGATCAAGACAGGCATCTCAGCATCTAGTCTTGGAACACATTGGATTGACCTGGTGCAGCAAGTCCAGTCAGACATCTTTGAGATCCTAGACTTTGTACTTGGAATTTGCCCGGAAACTGTCAAACTGAGCGTTTTAAGTGCGAAGATCCTCGAGGAAATCCGTTCAGTTTGAAAAGGGCGCGGTTTGCGAAGGACGGAAGCTGGCAGCACTTGGATGCAATTCGCCGAGCAGCAGTTGAGTGAAGAGGGGCATGCCGTCACTTCTTCTTGGATAGGTTTCTGCAAAACAACCTCGGACATGCGTTTTGAATGATCGGAAACTCCGGAGATAGCAACTAGCGCAGCCACCTGTGCAATTTTAAACTCAGCTTGCTGTGGATTCCACTTGGCAGTGGAGAATTGGGTTGCAGGTTGCCACTCTCTGTGATTTTAGGGGAATCCACACATGATCAAGTCGTCATTTGGATGACCCGGGCTGGTAGCACACACACACACAAAACGTATTTATTGTCCAGTCATGTCCTTCGGCCGGCCCAGGTTGGTGTCCTGGCAGGAAGGGCCGCAAGTGGCCTGGCTGGAGACGCCTGCGGGAAACCGCTCTGTCTCTTGCGGTAGACGTCTGATGCGTGAGCTCTATGTTCGGAGTAGCGATATCTTTCAACAGAAAAGCCTTGGAAACGCGGATCACAGGCTGTTCTTCAGTTTTCTGGGAGTAAGGTCAGGTCTGAAGAACAAGCATGGCAGAACATGGAAGGAGGCAGTGCAGACACAGGCATGAACCACATTCGTGCATGTCTTGCTCTTCTCTGAAATCGGACGCTTCCCTTAGTTCTTCCATGATTTTGGAGCAGTTTATCGGCTGGATTTGTACCACTGCCTGGACCCTGCGACGCTGAGTGCGTCTCTGCGTCAAGGTCCTACCACCTGTGGAGCGCGGGGTATCGGAAGCACCGCTGTGACGGGCACCGGTTCCCCCTGCAGCAGGCGAGGCTGGTGGCTGCGCGGCTCAGGCCAAGGCTGCGCCGCTATGAGGCAGGGTCTTTGGTTGGGGTTGAGGCGGAATGCGGGGCTGTCGGGTGTGGGGTGCGATAAGAGTACGAAAGGCGTAAAGGCCATAACTCAATCACACCAAAACTAGACCAAGCTCAGGCCTCGAGTCAAAACAGCAGCATCAACACAAGAAGCACTCCCCACCAATTTGTGGTTCTGCAAGCCTGAACAGCATCACTTGGCCTCCAATCTGAAATGACTTCCTCAAGGCCAGGAGTGGTCTTTCAAGCAGAACACGGAACAGTCTGTGGATCATTGGGCGCGGCTGTGAATCATGGCTATGGACCTTTGCGTTGGAATACTCCCCTCTAATGTGGACCCCAAAACTCCTCACTTGTAGAAAACGCTCCTTGGTGCCAATGTTCAGAGCCCCAAGTCCAAGTGTGATCGCAAAGGCCCCAAAGATGGATTCTCCTTTGGTTGCCTAAGCCCAGAACTGGGCGTGGGTCAAAAAAAAAGGTAACCCCATGTAACCCCAAAATGGATCCCGAATGGAAACATGGACTAAAACCTGCGGTCCAATTCCTGGTGGTTTAATTTGACCCAAGCCCCCAAAACTCCTGACTTGTAGACGCTCTTTTGTGACTTTCTGTGGCCCCAAAGATGGCTTGTCCTTTGGTTGAAGCCCAGAACAAGGTACCCGCCAAAACCGGTGAGGTGGTGGTGCTCTGCGGTCGCCTCGTGGCCAGTGCCTTCGGCCTCCGCGCCGGGGGGCGCCTGGTGCCCTGGACGGAGGAGCAGCAGGGCGTGCGGTTCCTGGTGCTGCCGCACCCCAGCGGCGCCTTCGGCGATCTGAAAAAAAAGCGTGGCTCGAAAGGAAAAACACAAACCGCGGGGTTTGGTCCGTGTTTCCACCGACCGCAACCCATTTTGGAGCCGTTTCTTGGGCTAGCGAGTTGGGAGTTGGGAGTTGAAGGAACGCAGAAGGAACGCACAGAATGAGCGCCCCGAGAACCAGTCCCAAGTTTTTTTTTCTTCAGACTTACTCCCAAGTGGGAGGGATTGGAAGGGCCGGCGTTGTCTTTTTTTGGGGTCTACAGGAGGTCCGTAGTTGGCACGATATTCACGAGAGCAGCTATGGAGGGCAGCTATTTAATTTTGAGATATGAGCAACGGGTAGGACGGGTACGATTTGTTCATTTGGAGATTGGGGGGCCTGGTCAATGGAACCAACCACACTAGGTAATATTTGTCCTTGGCTCATGCACACTAGAAAATATTTGTCCTTGGCTCATATGAATCAAATGAACCTTGTCGGGTCATCCAGGCTGTCGCAAGTGGTCACGGTCAGAGCTGTCGTATTTGCCTTGAAGCGATCAGGATCGCTAGGAACCAAAAAATCGCCACGCGTCGGACTGTTCAGTGGATCTTTGATTCACAAAGGATGTTGAAACAGTGCCACAAGCGAACCCGCTGATGGCAAGTTGTGGGGGCACCATAAGAGTCTCCAGCAATGCGCGCTTGCCGAGGCGTTTCCCACTTTTGGAACGATGAGGTGTGATTCCTGGGAGTGGGATGGGGCAGATGTTTGTGGACTTTTTCCTGTCCTGATTTAGCTGTTTTAGCTGTTGCCTTTTGAACTGTGCATTACTTTCCTTCCATGTTCTACCCTGGCTGGGATCACGGATCAAGTCGCGCGGCTGTTCTCCTTCTGCTCCCTTGCACTCTTTCCTTGGAGCTGTTTTGCATAACATCCTTCCACCAAAAGAATCTGAGCCCAAGCAAGCAAGCCCCTGTGGTCTAGCGCACTTATTTTCTTTGGCTCAATCATGGCACACACTCTCCTGCCATATGTTGGAGTTCAAGCCGGCTGAGTGGGGCAATCATCTTAGCGTTTCAAACACGTGGCTCAAACCTGTTTGGATCATCTTGCTGGGTACACGAGTTATGCAATGTGGTTCGATTGTCCGGCTGAATTGACAATGCTTGTGGAAATGCGAGTGCAGGTTCCAGTGTTTTGTCCGGCTTCTTTTCAAACATGCCCCGGTTTGTTTGCCTCACACTGCCCGGTGCGAAGGCCCACAGCAATCCACAAAGGCAAGACAAGGGACATGTTGCACTACGCATCTTTTGACACATGATCAGCCTGATCAACGTAGACTGTTCGGAGGGACCCGATTAGCCCCTTCTTTCCCACAGCTAGGCATCAGATCAAAGATGGTTGAGCACTTGCAAATCTGAATGGGTGAGGGCACCCTCAAAACAGGCACCCCCACATGCTTTAGACATGACCCGGAAAACTACGAGTCAGCATGACAACCTCTTAACAGAGGCCATCAAACGTGTAAAGATTCAAAGGGTGGGATCTCCGCCGCTGGCCTTTGCACTGATCTGCCCGACATTTGCTTGTGGCTACACTCCCTCGGACTAACAGCCGGCAGCTCCCCCAATTGGACCCTCCCAAAGTGCTTGGATTCCCTTTAACTTCCCCTTTAAACCCAACCAAAAGACTGTACCCAACCAAAAAAAGGGACAGACGCAAATGGGGCAGCAAGTAGTTCGCCTTTCACCTCTCGGTCCCTTGAAAATTCCATGGACCTGGCGAAGTTCCAAGAGGCCAGCTGGCACCGGGCGGCTCTGCTCTTCCGCCGGGCTCTGGGCGCCTGTGGCCTTTGCGCCCGAAATGCGGAAAACCAAGGCGCTGGGCATGTCTCGTGGCCGGAAAAGCAGGGGGATGACGTTGGGCTAGCTTCGGGTTCTGTTCTCCTGGTTTTCTTGTTTGTTTTCGCTTGTCGGGTCCAGTTGGTCTTGATTTGATTGGTGGTGGTTTGGCTGGTTTGGTCGGGCTGGGTGTGATTTGGTGGTTTTGGTTTCGTGCTTTGCTGTGGCTGCATGGTATGGTTGGTTTGGTCTGGTTGGTTTTCATTTGGTTGGCTTGGTTTGGTTGGTTCTGAGTTGGTTATGTTGGTTTGGCAGTTTATTTTTTTGCTTGATTGACTTTTGTTTCTGCCTGCATAGGTTGTCAAGGTTTATGTAGGCCTTGCTATAAACTCCAAGGAAGCAGGCAGTAGATTCATGTACTCAAATGGCCAATGGGGAAATGGGCGCTGTTCAAATGGAGGTTGTGCCATCTCTCACTTGCTTGTTTGTTAGTTGTTTGCCAGCTTGCTCACTTGCTTGTTTTTTTGTTTGTTTGTTTGTTTGTGCATTCGTTGTTCGACGGTCGAATAGTTGGATGGTTGAGTTGGCTGGCGTCCGTCGTGTTGTATTGGCTCGGGCCGGTCTTGATCTGTTGATTGGTTCTTTGGAGGTTCGCATTGTCTTTCAGGTGGTGCTTTAAGGTTCTTCTGTTCATCGTTGGGCTGGTTGGCTTTGGTAGCTTGGCGGTTTTGTTTGCTTAGCCGGTAGGCAGCTATTTTGCATGATTTCACGACGCGCTAGATGTCGGTTTGCTTGCTTGTTTGCTTGGATTGGTTTGCTAGGCATTGTTTGGCTTTGTCTTTGTTTGTTTGGTTTGGTTGACGGTTGGATGGTCAGATGATTGTATGGCTGGCTGGTTGGCTGGTTACTTTTGGTTGTCTGGTTTGGTCAGCTGGCTGGCTGGCTGCTTGGTTTTTGGTTGTTTGGATTGGCTGGTTTTGGATGGTTGTTTGTTGGTTGATTGATTGGTAGTTGGTTGACTGGTTGTTTGGTTGGTTGGCTGGCCAGTTGGTTTGCTGGGTTTTCTTTGGAGCAGAGGCCAGCCAATTAAGCACCTTTTTGCTTGCTCTTTCAGCTTAGATATTCCCACTTGGTACACCTGTGAAGGCCATTTATTGGAAGGGTTACCTGATTTGTCAGTCAAACATGAGTTTGCTTGGGACACGCTCCCACCCATGTCACAGTTTGCGGTTCGAAGCACGCCCAGGACAACGATGCCGAGGAAGCCGAGGCCAGCTCAACGGAGGTGCCGGCTGCGAGTGAGCGTCGCCGCATTCGCAGCAAGTTCTTCGTGTCTGCCGAGAAGGCGAAGAGCACTCCCCAGCCTTGACTGCCAAATTGACCTCCCCTTTGGCCAACATTCTGGCACTAGGTCTAAACTATGCAACCATGAAGGCCCTTTTAAGGAGTGTCAGTGGTCGCCGAGGATAGAGGAAGGGCAGCAATAAATCACAGGCTGCTTGGCAATTAGCATGTGTGCATGAATTCAGGCAGTGCTCTCCGTCCGGCTACTTGATCACTAATGTTGCCACGTTCTGTAATTGTTTTACATCGATTTACCAGGAACTTATGTTGTTTTACCACTGTTTGTGAATTCGTGAAGATGTTGCCTTCTGCACCTAGCTCTAGCTGGAGGGATTCCAATTCGCCATGCATGAGGGGTGGGTTGCAGTGGCACACTGCTGGATCCTCCTTTTCTGCAGCGCTGGGTTGGCAGAGGGTGGATGTCATTTGCAGCAGCTGCATGGGCCAGATGCAAATCGCCAAACAACTTCAAGACCTTTGAGTAGTTGACTCAGTCCTTCCTGAGCTTCTTTGGCTGGTGCACAAGATTGTTTCTTTTTGTGTGTTGTTTACATAAACCGAATCTCCCATCAAGAGGACAAACCCGCGGCAAGGGTCCCAAAGCCTCCCAGGGTTGCAAACGGGGCCTTTCGAAGGCGCTGTGGGGCGGCGCTTTGCGAAAAGGACGTCTGGGGGCAGACAGATGAATAGGGGATGAGGGGCCTATAGGGGATGATTAGCAGCCGCCATGCCGCCATTCACAAATTGTTGGTTTAAGAGTCTACAGTGAGTTTTTTGGGGTACACTTGCCAAATCGCCATTCATACATGCGGGGCGGACGCTCATCAATATTCCCTGACATGTCAGTGGTTAGTCAAGAACTTTACGATGCGTCAAGTGATCAAGCAGGTCGGTTTCGAAGCTGATTGTCTTTCTTTTTCCCTCTTTCTCTCTTTCTCTCTTTCTTTCTTTCTTTCTTTCTTTCTTTCTTTCTTTCTTTCTTTCTTTCTTTCTGTCTGTTTCTTTACTACTTTTCTTTGCTTTCTCTTTCTTTCTCTTTCTTTCTCATTTTTCCTCTCATTTGACATTTGAGCTTTCTCTCATGTTTTTTCTCTGTATCTCTTTCCTGATCTTTCTTTCTCTTTCTGTCTGTCTGTCTGTCTTTCACATTCTTTGTATCTTTCTCTTTCCTCTTGCTCTCTTTTTCTTATTGCCAACAAGCTTTCCTTAGGCTGTGACAAGGAGCTCGTGGCGGAGGCCTGCTGGGCCAACGGCCGGGAGCTCTGCACTGCGGAAAAAAGTTTGGAGCACCTTCCAAGCTTGGTGGACACTGGCTTCCGGTTGGATTCTTGGTTGATTCTTGCAATATTTTTCTGGATTCTGGAACCAGAATCTTTGGAGAGGCAAGTGATGTTGGAGTGTGGCTGGTTGGTGGTTGGATTCTCCGGAGAGATCTCGCCGTGGCTTGCGGGAGGGAAGGTCGCCTGCAGCATCATTTGGTTGCCATTCTTTATGTGTGGCTCAAAATTAAACAGGAGGGGCAAACCGCAGGTTTTGCCGATTGCTTGACCTTCCGTTTCTATTGCTTTTGCCGCCTCTTCACCTGCGCATTCCCAGGTTCCACCATGTGGGCTTTGTGTTGGCTGCCAGCGGAATGCTGTGCACACTGTGGGGCCTGATCTGTGATTTTGAAACCATCAAAAAAAGGCCCGAATCCCATGTTAAGAAACCTGGACCCTCAAACTACCAGTTGGTTTTCACCGGGATCACAATGTCAATGTGAACGTCATGTGAGGGCTTGAAGTCGCTCCACATTCTGCGGTCTCTGACTAGTTCTATTTGTATGGTCGACTAAACATGGGTTTTGGTCCATGTTTCCACTTCCCAGGGTTCAATTTTGGGTACCGGTTTTTTGAGCCACAGCCATGTCTGAGAGTTGCCAACTCACATTTTGATGTGAAGATGGGGCGAAGATGTTGAGATTGGTTCAAGCAGAGGTGGTTGATTAGCTTGCCCAGCCTAGGTCTTGCCTTGCAGCATGCACCGGAGCTGAAGGATGACTGGGAGGCCCTTGGGTAGGGCATACAGGGAGGTGGCAGCGGAAGATTGATAGTTTCGGGGGCGGGGGGGGGGGGAGGCAATGATTTGTCAAAACAACAGCCCGACAGCGTGTCTTGGCACCTCAAAATACGTCGCCCACGTGTTTTTCGAGGTGCATTTGTGCCCCGAATCTGCATTTGTGTTTGCAACATTTGTGGCTCAGCCAATTTTATCTTGGTCAATCTCCAACACATCTTCAGGCACACTGAGTGCCCCGAAGGCTTTACAGCATTCAGCACGGGAGTCAAAAGCAGGTTCCGGGCTGCATGCAGCGTGCTTGAAAAAGTGTTCATTGCTTTCTGGTTTGTTGTCTTTGGACTTTGCCTTCTTGGGGACCAGGTGGGGTTTTGAATTGTACCCTCCAAAAGTTGAACACTTTTTGCAGAGGGGTCGTTGCAGCGACCAAGGAATGTACATGGTTGACTTTGGCCGAAGAAACTTGATCGCCTTGTGGCTTCGGGATGGTGTCACATGATTTCGGATGCGGGTTCCTTGCACATGCAATGCTGAACTTGTTAGCATGTGAAAACAAAGCTGATCTCTGTGCAACTTGCTCGTGGAAATCAGTGCCAACGAAGTAGGAATGGTCTGCAGGAATTGTCACATACCTGCTAAGTATCTTCGTCACATGCCTGCCTAATCTGTGGACATCAACCAACAACTTAAACTTACGTCCCAACTCAATAGTTTTAATGTGCACGCGACACTTTGATAAGTGAGCTAAAACCCTGGCTTTGGCAAGCAACCAACATACAAGCACACATGGAAGTATGCGGCGGAGTTTGGCAACATGCAGTGTTCGCATTGATCCACCAGCATCAGGTTAGTCCTCCTCTTTCTCTTTCTTGTTTCCTTGGTTTCCTGGTAGGAACTCTTTGCCGAATATCTGGGTCTCCGAAAACAAGCAGCGTGGCGGGCAATTGTGAGCAACAAGGGGCACGGAGATTCCTACGGTTCACAAGAAGATGCTTAGAGATTGCTGGCTCTCAGGCACATCATTTGCAAATGGCCTGGAGACGCCAGGAAACGCTGCCTTCACCGCAGATCCACCACTTCCCAAGCAGCAGCTTCGCGTTTCTCCTATTGACTGGAATCGCCTTGGCCAGGTTGTCATGTGCGCTGTCTCCAGGAATGGCACGGCGCTGATGCCGGTGGCTGAGTTGAAGTTCAGTTGGCCCAAGAGCTTGCAACAAGTCTGAGATCCATAGAAGTTTACCATGGAGTGGACCCCACACAAGTCTTGGAGGAACTTCTGCTCTTATGGACGCTCCTTGCTCAAGCCTCAAGCCGTGGAGACAAGTCCAGTGGAGTTGCCGAGGTGGGCTTCCCCGGAGCTGCAGGCGGACAAGGAGGCCGGAAAAAACGGGTGACCGGGCCTTTGGGTCGGAGGGGTGGCAGGTTTACAGCGGCTTACCATTTTGTCCATCCCAAGTCGGAACGAAATGATTTTGCGAGAGGCGACCTCCTTTTTTTTGGGGACTTGAGTGAAGGCAGCATTTGGCGGCCTGGTTCTTTGGGCTTGAGCGCTGCATGCTTCGGCGGCGTGATTTGAGATTGTCATGTCTCAAAGCAGTTGGCAGCCCCGCGGGCCTGCAGGTTACCTGTGATTCCCTCAACATTTCAATTTCGGTTTGTTTTGTGGGCGACAGCCCGCTGGTGGCGTTAGAAGGGCAATCAGCACGGAGCCGGGAGACCCCCACCGAGACAGACCCAGATCTGAACCTTTGTTGGCTTGGACCAGCACGCAGGTTCTGAGTTCACAAGTGCTTCCCTCGAGGTCGTGTCTCGCGCCGTGTGCGAGAGTGGCGGCGCTTTGGCCTATGCCTCCCAGGCGAGGGGGGATGAGTTCTTGGCTGCCGGGCCCCACATGTGCCACTTGCTGAGAACTGGCAACGACGGCATATCCAGCCACTGGCCACTTTGCGAGCAACTGCACCGGGTCGTTTCCTTCGTGCGATGCCCGTGACACTATAGCCCAGCAGGTTGCCCGGTGGAGTAGACTTTGAAAGGGGTGAACCACAGCGCTCCCTGAGACTTTACAGAAGGGCCTTGAGAATTTCAAGATTTCGAACATTTGCTTTCCTTTAGAAAGGAGTGCGGATGAAGGCAGCAGAGCTGGCTTTGGAAACCGGCCGTCCGAAGCCGCGCGGCTGCCAGGAACTTCGCGCGGTCTTCCCAGCCTGGATTTGCGTTGGTAGCTCTTCTGCACGCGCCCTGCTTGCTGGGCCGCTTTGTCCAAGCAATGCGGCGAGATTTTTCAGGGATGTAATTTGGGCCCAGAACCTGCTTGCCTTGTTTGCATTTGTATGCAGCTTAGATTCCCCCGAGCTCTGCTGGGAGCTACGGATAGATCCACCTTGTGAGGCAACTCCTCAGGTTCCCCATCCGCCTGAGACTTATGCTGTGAACCGATTTGGTTGTTGCCGAAACGAACAAACAAAAATCCAAAAAACACAATGCTGAAAGGTTCAGATTTTGACGATTTTCAATACTGGAATTTGTGTATCAGCCCAAGTCAAAGTATGAAAAATTCTTGGTTGCGCACATGTTCAATCACTTTGGCACATGGCAACCAGAAGATTCTATTCAACCATTTCGTAAACTCCACCAAACATTCGATCTATTCCATAAATTCATAAACTCAACAATACCATATTTTCTATCAACCATTGCACAGTGTAGATTTCATATAGCCTAACACATTCCATCAACAATTGCAGAAAGTCCACAAAGTCCAACAATATCTATCAACATTTCAACGTCCAAAACAGCAAAACATAACTATCACCGCTTCCACAAAGTCCCGCAAAGTTTATACAGTCAATCACCTTTGCCAACAAGCTTTATCGATAATTCCACAAAGTCGATACATTCCAATAAGCCCTATTTTCACACAATACCATTCGATAAATTATGCTGCCAATTCTATCAACTCCACAAACGTCAAACAAATTCTATGAACAATTCCATGAAGTCCACAACAGCCCAAAAACAAACCATCACCAGTTCCATTAAGTTATAAGATCCAATAAAGTCTATAAAATCCTGTAAACAATGCCATCAAGTGCATAAATCAACAAATACTTTCAACACTTCCAGAAAGTCCAGAAAATCAAATCATCCATTTATTAATTTCCATCAAAGCCAGTCATTCTATTCCATCACACCGAGACAATAACTCCGATGAACAATTCCATAAGTCCAAAACAGCCTTGAGTTCCATACAATTCCATCAAGAAATCCATAAGAACATTCTATGTCCATGGTTTCTATCGTCACATCCCATCAACAAATCCAGCTTCGACTCTCGACCCGGCGGGATCGCCGACGGGATCTCCTCCGTGTGGTCGTTTTCGCCAGGACCGGGACGTGGTCCTGGCGGCGGTGCGGCAGCGGGGCATAGCGCTGCGCTACGCCTCGGAGGCGACCCGACTCGAGTCGACCGACGGATCCGGGTCGCCTTTCGGGGTATGGCAGGGCCGGAAGCGGGGTGCCCTTGTTTGAGGTACGCAGCCATTTGTGTGCTTTTTAAGGTTGTATCGACGGGAACGGCATCGTTTTTTTTTTTTTTTTTTTTTTTTTTTTTTTTTTTTTTATAACTTTTTTTTTGGGGGGTTTGCCTTGTTCCGTACATCTGGGGCCGTTTTAACCTTGTTGGATCAAAGTGAGGGATTTTGTTTCCCCTGCCTGTGACTTTAGTGATTAGCGCCAAAACAATGGGGCGAGTGCGTGTCAAAAAGTGTCTGTTTGGGGGGTTTTTCATGTTTTTTTTCCATCACATGGATATGTGTGAAGCAAGCCTGGACCCCAGAAAGATGGCTTTCCTTTGGGTTTCCCTTGAAGCGAACCCAAAAAGATTGCCCTCAAACAATGATAGACATCCATAGGTGTTGTGGAGAAATCCACGGGCTCAACTGGTGAATGAAACATGCACGCAGGATTGGTGTCATCCATTTTCAAGGACACTGACCTAAGAAGAGACTCATATGATCGAACTTAGCCAATTCTTGGTACACTGAAATGTCTGGGTCTGCACATGAAGTGCAGCTTGGAACCGCTGTGGCAACAATATCTATGTAGATACGATATACATACCATACACGTATCCCAATACATGTACATGTGTCATTGTGATTGCGTAGGGGTGGTCAGGCGACCAAAAGGAGGAAGAAAAGACACATTACAACAGAGGCATCTTAGCGCATACTGCCAGATTCACTGGCGACGAATTCCGAAGACCCACTGCCCTGCAGACGAATGAGTTTGCCCAGATGGAATCCACCGCTCCAAAGACGAATTCGTCCACGTGGACAAGCTCCCAGGTGAAGACAAATTGTTTGGAAGACAAATTGCTGTACGCTGTAGTACCGGCAGACGAATGGCTGTTTGAATTGGGAAGTAGAGCGGCGTTGCAAGAACAAGCGGCTGATTGTGCGGTTAGCCTTTCCTTGGGACTTACACACACAACGATTAGGTGCGCACGGTCTTGCTGCTGGCATTCATGCTATAGATGACGGGATCACACATAGAATGCGATCTTCTTCATGGTTGCCCAGGAACAACAACTTTATGCTTCGGCAAAACCTTGGATATACTACTGTAATGTAATTGTAATGTAATGTAATGTAATGCAATGTAGTGTACTGGAATGGAATGGAATGGAATGGAATGGAGTGGAGTGTAGTGGAATGGAACGGAATGGAATGGAGTGGAGTGTAGTGGAATGGAACGGAATGGAATGGAATGTTTGTGTGTGTATATATAATATATATATATATATATATGTATATATATATATATACATATGTATGTATGGTCACCGTGCAGATTTCGCTTGCCGTCAGGACCTCAAGGCTGACCGCGAGGTGGTGAAGGCGGCTGCAGGACAGAGCAAACGAGCTCTGATGCCTGGGACTCGGGACTGTCTTGGCATCCCATGTGATGGGTGGATGGACCCCCACTACAAACACCCTCAAGTCTCTTTGGCAGAAAGCCATTGCATTTGATGGCATGAGGTCGTCTAATCGTCCTCGCGTTTCGATCCATGAGTCTGAAGGGATACTGCGGCAGAATAACGATGGACATGACACTGTCGGGCCCGAGGCATCGTGAAATGCCAGCCCACGTTTCAGTGTGACTGAGCTTGCTAGAATGCTTTTGGAAGCGCTCTATGAACTTTTCCCACATTCGCAGCCTTGTTGGATGACTCTCGTTTCCTGCCTATTTCCTCGAGGTATGCCGCAGATGTCCTGAAGAAGGATGCAGCTTTCATCAAGGAAGCGTCCAGCCAGGCGGGCTGCTCATGCGTTTCAGGGATGGCCCAAAGCTCCTCCCGAACCTCTTTCGCATTATCCCAGGTCGGCCAGGAGAACAACCAAGAAGCGCCAAGAGAGAAGAAAGATCCCGAGAGCCAAGCATCATCTTGTGGCCAAAGACCAAAATATATCTCAAGGCAGTGGTACATAGGTCGTGCAATCCCCAAAAGTAAGTGGCTTTCTTTTGGTTTCACAAGAATGTAAATGGCTTGGAACTTCAATGGGCAACAACACTCTCTAAAGTTGTTGGTGGACACAAATCCCCTGTTGAATGGTCTCCACCATCGGGCCCCCAAGTAACATTCAGGCCCGTAAAACATGGCTGGTTCTGATCGAGGTCACCAACAGACATCCGAGTTTCACTCAAGGTATCCATAGATTGACCCCGAGAACTGGATTTCGGTCTTTTGGTTTCTCCAAAAACACGGTAGCAAGCCTCCAACAACTTGCCGGTGCGTGGGGAATGACTTTGGCTTTTCGGAAGGAACCTAGGGATCTCTTAGAAAAGCATGGACGGGTTTGATTGGGGTCATTCCACGTCTCGTTCCCTAAAACTCTCCCGCAGCAAGTGGCGGTTTCCCGAAAAAAGCCGCAGAAGGGTACCGAGCCTCAAGAAGCTTGCCGGTGACCCAGAGTGTTGGGAATCTAGGGATTCCATTGGGATGGGACATTTTCGTGAATCCCTAGATGATTTTGTAGATTTTTGGGATGACTTTTAGAGAGATCATTTGGGGATCTGCACATTTTTGGGATGGTTTTGTAGGGGTCCTTCCATTTCTCATTCCCTACTGAGCCAACCGCCGGAAAAGGACGCACCAACCGCCGGACGGCTGGAGGCTCCCGCGCCGGCGGCGGAACGGCCTGCGGCGCCGGTGCCGCCCAGCTATGGGCCCGGCCTGTGACGTGCTCGTGCCGAAAAGGGGGGGCTGCGAAGGTGGAATGAGGAAACGTGAAGGTTTGCCCCGTGTTTCTTCTTCTCCGTTTTGTTGTTGTTGTTGTATTTGTATTTGCTCTTTTTTGGTATTTAAGAGTCAAGAGTGTGGAACTTTCTTCGAACATGGTGAGTGGACATGAATGTCCAAAGTACAAAGACGTCTATTGAAGGGCCCGTGATTGACGATCTGAGGAGATCAGGCAAAAGCAGGTATTGGACGTGTGCCATGGTCCAAACACCGCGGCTTAAAGGGATAGTCGTCAACCCCGTAAAAAGGTAAGGATAAGCAGCGTGGGGATCCCCAGATCATAAGGGGTTTCCGCCGTGGCACGTGTGGAGCCACACAAACGACTCGAGCCCAGACGTTTTCGCCACTGACCCACAGCTGGTTTTCGTGGCCTCAACACGAGATCATTCTGACCTTGTGGAGGCTGCTGGAAGGGGTTGGGTCTTGGCGTCCCGCCCTCGAAGCAGAGTTTGTAGGGCTTGGCGCCCTTTCAGCTTTCGCTAAATTGACCAGCTAGCAGGATTTGCAGTGCTGCCAAGTCCAACTGTCGATTGACAAAGCCATTTGTTGGACCATCCAACTTTGTGCAGGTGTTCTAATTGTGGCCGGTGTTGTGATTGTGGCCAACACAGGATGTTGTCTAGCACCATCCTCTCCAACAGAATATTCGATTTTACGGGATTCGTGTCGGCCTTCATGCCCCTCACTTTCTGCAGTCATGGGAGGCTTCGCGTTCGAATGCAACAGTTGATTGGCACACATGACGCGCCTGCCCAAGCCAACAAGGGCAATGGCTCAGTGAGAAGGCATCAGAGTTACAATGCAGTTAGTAGGGGACGGTCCCTGCCATAATTAAGTGCGACAACCTTTTTGACTCCTGGTTTGATTATGATTGATAGGCCGAACTGAAAATAGACTGGTAGCTTCTCAGAGGTACTCCTTGCCAGCGTGTCAATTCTTTGACCCAGACATGCTTCATGCAAAGTGCCGGGAGTTCCTTGAGAACCGATGGCAAGGGGCGACTCACAACACTCACAAGACATGTAGTATGGATGGACGAAATCCTGCACCACTTTGAAGGCATGGTTGAAACCAGACCGTTTGTTTGAAGTTTCCTGGGCAGCCATCAGTATCACACACTTGCAAGAATCAACCTGTGCGCACGCGGCATAGCAACACGTCAGCTGGCTTTGGGGCGCTATGGCAGGCGCTTCGGCTTGCCACTTGCTTTGTGCGGCTCGCTGTGCAGGGCTCGTTCGGCTGACGATGTTTCGGTGGTCAACACGTCTGCCTTATGCCTTTCTGAAACCAGTGGCCGTTCTCAGACCGCAAGGCTGGACTTTGCTGAGGTTTGCGATGGAGGGCACAGCGAAAGATGTCAAGCAGCTCTGATTCCTGCTTCTATTATGATGCACTCGGGGACACGCCTTCAGATGCTCCTTTTCACATGGCTGTGGGTCAAGACCACTGGGATCCCATTTTGGTTGGTAGGTGAATTTTATCACCCATTTTAGCACCTATTTTAGTGGTTGGATTGAATCGGGCTTTGGATTTTGAAACGCCCATGGCCACATCTTCACGTCCAGCAGCTTCTGCAGGCCATGAGAGGGCGCCATGCCAGAACCCTGGGTTCGCCCCTGGTGGCCTGACTCGTTCCGTGGAACGATCTCCGTTTCGCTTGTCGTCGCTTTTGGATGTAGGTCAAACGGTTTTGATTTTTACCTGGCGTCAGTGCCCGGTGCTCTGACTTGTCAGGCGGCAATGATAAACACTACAGATTCTTGCCGCCAGACAACGGCGATCTGCAGCAGGGAGATTCCCGACCAACAGTGGCACTTACCCTAAAGAGCAGAACAGTATTGTTGCATTCCGTGATACTGTGTCTGGTTGCTCAAACCCTTGCAGCAGACCGTGGGCCGTTGTTTTTTGCACGGCCCTTTTCTAGTGGTGCCCCCTTTTCCTGGAAGCATTTTCCTGCGAAGTCCAGAAGAATCAAGACCACTGCTTGAACTTCGCGTCTTCCTACTTCATGCCAAACAGGTTGGATGGGTTCAAGGAAAGACGAGCCGAGTGCTGGCAAGAGGGCAAAGAGGTAGAGCTAAGACTTAGCACGGTGCTGAGGAGTCTGGGCGGAGCCGGCACGCGTCCAAGAGCCACGCTCTCGGAGGGCTTCCCATTGCGTGGCGCTTGGAAAGCATGGCCCCCTGCCGGACGGAGTTGCACCCAGGGGGAAGCTCGGCAGCTTTCTTAGATTCCTGCCAGCCGCGGGGTTTTGGCTGCTTGACGCGGCCGCAAACTGGCCAGTGTGCTCCGGCAACTTTGGACCTTGCTTTGACAAGGCCATCCGCCCTGGCGTCCAGTCGCCGGAGGCGCCAGAGGCGCCAGAGGCGCCAGAGGCGCCAGAGGCACCGCTTTTCGGTTTCCGTTTTGAGGGCGGGGAGGTTTTGAGTGACCAGTGCGCTACTTGCATCCAGCATTCAGCTAGATCCCCGTCCTGGGAACATGTTCCAAAAGCCATGGCTTGCACCTTTCCTCGCCAGGTCGTTGAGGCGCCAGAGGCAGATGACTCGGCTGATGGTGACGCGCTTTGCAGGTGCGGGGGGTTGCCAGTGCAGCATGCGGTTGAGCCATCCAGGCGGTTGCTTACGGGAAGCATGGTTCAGGGTGGTTTGACCAGGCGTTTCGGCTTGGTTTGAGGGTACTTGCACCGTTTGAATTTGAACACGACAACCTTTTGTGAAGGCCTAGCCCCCATTTTTTTCAGGTGCTCCGCGCCAAGTGGGCCAAAGTCAACGCCTTGCCCATGAATGCTTCCTCCCACAAATCTAGAGACCCACCCGAAAAGCATGCCAAATTCCAGCTGCACCCGAGGTGTGAGATAGACTTTATTCTGCACCTTGAAAGGTCCGCACGCGGTGGTATGAAAGAGTTGCGAAGGCGCGCAGACTGCATAGCTACCTGCCACTCACCCTTGTATTGGTACATGTACATGTACATGTGTATGCACATCAGGTTTTTGTGTGTCTTTTTGTAAGCCCCAAAATTATGGTGTTCCTTCATATCTGATACTGTATTTGTATCCGTATCTTTTTTCGTCTCTGTATTTCTATGCATATGCGTATGTGCTTGTGCATGTGCATATGTATTTGTAGTTGATTGTCGTTGTATTGCACGTAAACAGTCACATGTATTGGACGCAGGACATACTTGCTCGCTTTTCATCTCTGAACAGAGTCTCAGGCCGGCCACGGAGGCGGAGCAGTCGGAGCCTCGGAATTGGGGCCCTGGTGGGACATCGGGAGCCACTTTCTGTAGCAAGGGAATGCCCTCCAGTGACCCAGCGGATGGGAAGTGCTGTATGTTTTTCTCAGGGCTTACACGGCCTGTTTGGAGGCCCGCAACAGCTTTTGGCGAGTCGGGTGGTGTGCTTCTCCCGAGTTCGGCGAGCGGGGCCGATGCTTCTGTTTGCCAGCTGGCCGGACGCTTCGAATCAATGTTTCCTTCCACGTAGTTTTCGCTGGCCTTCACCTGTGGCTCAAGGGTCCTGGTTCCAGTCGCCAGTCTTGTACATTGAAAAAAGAGAAAGACGGCCACCTCTCCTTGCCGGGGGCTGTTTTTTTGTCACCATGACCAGCAACCTGCTGGCGGCGCTGAAGAGTAACCAGGGCAAGACCAGCACCACTGCCGTGTATCCTTTGATCGAGGCAGCCAAGAGCGGCCAGGTGGAGGGATGCAGCAAGGTGGGGATTGGGCCTGGATTGCTCTTTGGAAACAGCTGTGGGTTAAAACCAATGGGATCCCATTTTGGGGTAGGTGCATCACCCATTTTAGAACCTATTTTAGTGGGGATTGGGATGTTCACTGGGGATACGGGCTTGTGACCCATGGCCAAATGTTGAAATGGAACTCTTCTTGAGGATTGCCTGTTGAGGTTCTCAAGCAAAATGCAGGGAGTAAGTCCTTGTCGGACTCAGGACAACAGCCATATCAACGGGAATCTACTTGTAATACTTGCCCACTTCAGGCCTGCCGCAGCTGTTTGTGATCGGTTTGGGGTACGTCCTGGAACAGCAGGGAAGCCACGCTGGGTGGAAGGAGCATGTTTTCTCGGGCAGAAACAACACGATCTGCCCTGTCGCGAAATGGTTTTGACCGACAAATCGACCATATCTGGCAGTGGCTCAAAATTAAACAGGGGGGGCAAACCGCAGGTTTTGGTCCATGTTTCTAGGGCAACCCATTTTGGAATTCCGGTTTTTGAGCCACAGCTCTATCTATGGTTCACTGTTCCACCTCGCGATTCCTACGGCTTCGCCGGCAGGGCCTGAGCTTCGGTTTCTGTTCTTCTTGCTTTGGGGGGGACGCCCGATGGGTCAAGTTGGAGCACCCCTTGAGGCCCTGGAGGACAAGAAGGTGAAGGTGGACCAGAAGGATCCGGAAGGCGTCAACGCGCTGATGCACGCAGCCTCAGGTGGCTACATACAGGTGGTGCAGTTCCTGGTAGAGAAGGGAGCAAGGAGCTATGGGTCAAAGCAAAGCGAGGTTGATCAACGTTTGACACAGGGGGGTTGATCAATAGTCTTTGGTGAGCAATATCATGATTTTAGTGGTTTCCACCAATGGTCATCCCATGTTTTACGGACCTTTTGATCAACCCCCACATGTCATGCCAGACACCGCGCCATCACTTGACGTATCAAACTATCGATTCTATATGTTTTCTTTGGCTTTCAGTGAATCGGATGAATTCGCAAAGCTCCTTCCGCCCTTGCAGGATTTCTGCAAAAGATGACATGGGCGAAACTGCTCTAATGAAAGCATGCGGCCTGACCTGACTTCGCGCAGATTTGTCCCTCTTTTGGCTTGGATTCCATATGCTGCACATGTTTTTCCTTGTTGCATCAATCCGTTGATTTCAAGCTTCCATACCCGACATTCTTCTCAGAAACCAGTGCTTGCCACTCCCCAGGCGACCTTGAATGAGTGTCTTGCTCTGGGTTGGTCCTCATAGTCACCCAAAGCGCCTTCTCCAACTGAATTCGAGGCAGCTTGCGAGGCCTCCGAAAAAATGGCCCTGCTCGGAGCCTTGTCATGAGCTTCCCTTTGGTTTCCTGTAAAGCAACCCGCTTGTATCTGATTTCTTGTTTTGGTACCCCGGTGGGCGCGTCTTTTTCTGTGGCTACCCCTTTCTTCTGGTTTGCAAGGGGAGAACAAAGGACAACCGTTGCGCCAGGTTTGGTCGGGCGTCCAAATCCAAAAGAAGAAGAAGCAACTGTTGAAAGGGACACCAACCCAAAAATTCAACTCTTGCATGCCATTTTTCCGGGGGGAGGGGGGGGAGGGAAGGGGGAGAAGCGGAGTCCAACAAAAATCCAACCCGAAAAACTGGCGAGAAACCTGGCAGACTCGTGAGGTAAAGAAGGGCACACGGACATCATCAAGTTCCTAGTGGAGGCCCAGGCCGCGCAGAGGAAGAAGGGCCCTTCCCTGACTGGGGGCAAGGACGAGGCGCAGGCCTCCCTCATGCGCGAGAAGAAGCGGATTTTGGACATGAAAGACGATGAGGGCGTGTGCCGCGGCCAAAGTTTTGGACCAACAAAAATCAGCTCATTTGTTTGGACGGATTTTGCAATGACAAGCAGTACTTTTCAATACATTGCGTTATATTGCATTGTGTTTCATTGCATTACGCGACATTCTATTGCGGTAGAGTGCATGACATCCCATTGCATTCCATTGTAGTGCATACCATTGGATTGCACTACTACACGCATTACATTGCATAGCTTTCGCTACATTACATCACATTACGTATTGTGTTACATAATATTGCAGTGTGTATAAATTGTTTGTAGAACATCACACACTTTTGAAACGCTTTGCGTTTGATTGCTTTGAACTGCATCCCATGCCATTGCATTGCTTTGCATTTCATTTCATTGTATTGTATTTTATTGTAATTGTATTGTATTGTCTTGTCTTGTATTCTATTGTAGTGTATTGTATTGTACTGTATTGTATTGTATTGTATTGTATTGTATTGTATTGTATAACACAGCATTGTTATTGCATTGCATAGCACTGCGCTTCATCAATCTGCATTACATTATATTGCAACACATTGCATTGCAATGCATTAGCTTGCATTGCCTTCTTGTTTCATGGCAGATGTAGATTTAAGGAATGCAGCCAACAAGGCACTTGACCAACACGATGTTGGTGAGAGACCCGTGGGAGGGGGGAAGGCTAAGAAGCAGCAAAACTCAGGCCGGGGAGTTGTATGGGTTTAGGTAGCGCATGGGTCCAGTTCTATTTGATGGTGCAACTGCTTCGGGTAGAATTTATCACCCTTCAATCGGTTTCCCATCGGGGTGGTGGCGGCGGCAGTGGTTGGACATCTTTGACTGTGTTTTATGGCAGCCTCTGGTGGTTGGGTAAAACCTTCCCTGTCAACAGTTGCTCTTGTCCTGGCCGACAAGACCCTGCGTCACTGAACCCTGGCAGGGCCAAAGTTGTTCTGGGCCTGGTTCCTGAGGGTCGCATTTTTACGACCCATTCCACTTGGATGAGCCCGCGTCTTCCTGAGGGTCGCATTCCCCTTGAAGCGTTTTTCATGTGTAGCTGTTCTCATGTCCTGAACCAAAGGAACTCGATGGGAAAAGCGGAAATGTTTGATGGGGAAAAGGGAAATTTGATCTAAGTGTTTTTTGGTTTGTATTTTTGCCGCTTTTGGCGCCCAAAGGGAAATCGAGCTCGAAGGACGGCCATCATGAAGGCCGCGGAGCAGGGCGAGGGTGACGTGGTCCAGATTTTGGCGGACGACGGCGCCTCGCTGGATTTGAAGGCCGGGCTTTCGGGGTGGTTTTGGCGGGTGGGCGAGGGGTTGGTGGGGTGGGTTGGAGGCAGGCCGTTTCCATGTGTGGCACTTGGAGGGTGGGACTTTGATGCTGGAAGAGGCAGTTTCTGTGGACATTTTGACACTTGGAAGGCGTTGCGAGAGCGCACTAGCGAACCCCGACATATGATTGTTGCGTGGATCAAGAGACCTTGCCCGTCCGTGAATCCACCAAACCCGTGTGCCATTTGAGCCTGAAATTACTTTGAACTGCCCTCGCAGACAAGAAAGGGTCCAAACACCAAAACGCCCGCTTGTTCACATAAGAGTCCAGGATCGAGCAATTCAGAGCAAATCAGAAATGGGCTCAAACAGGCAGTGTCATAGAGCGCTAGCTGCTGCCAGTTTGCCTGAAGACGAGCATCCAGACAGACTTGGCATCAGCAATCAGCAGAAAAAGGCTCAGCTGTATCTGTGGATTGAGTTGGACACTTTTGGACCTTTTGAACAGCATAGCTATGTGTGCACTTTGTTTTGGGTGTTTTTGAAGGGAATCCAGGAGAACACCGCCTATTTTGGATGTTCCCCTCAGCCCGACGAGACTTTCAGGACGACGAGGGCTGGGACACGCTGATGTGGGCCTCGCTGAGCGGGCACTTCGAGATCTGCGAGCTCCTGGTGAGCACCTTCGGCATGACTGCGGACTACGCCACCGAGAAGGGGGAGACCGCCCTCATGAAGGCGGCGAGATCATCTAGTTGGGTTTTGGGTTCGGGGGTTTTCGGGGGTTTTCGGGGGGTTTTCGGGGGTTTTCGGGGGAGATTCCCAGACTGCTTGGAAAAGCCCCCGAGATCTGCCATGTTGGGGTTCCCAGATTCCCAGGAAGCCCCCAACGTGAGCCATCAACATCGAATGCGCGCTAGTGGCCGTCCCAACCGTGCAGGAGCTGTAATCTCCTTTCAACCTGAGTCTCGAACGAAAGGGGTGGGGGTCGCCCAAACCTAGGTAAGTGAGATTACCTTGTAGAGCCTGCCGCAAGCACAAAGCAAGTCTTATCCTGATTCGTCACCCCTGCCGCCGACAAACATGGACACTGCACATGTTCCCGCTTTTAGAAGAGCAAGTGTCTTCCAAAACGAGTCTGTGCACGTCCATGTTTGTGGGAGTGGCCAACTTCAATTTGAATCTCGGCAAGTGGCCCTCCCATGTCACCTGACCTGTGGAGTGCAGCACCGGTAATGCATGTAACCAGCGGAAAGCCCAGCACCGGACCCACAACACGCCTGCGCAGAAAAGGCCTCCTCTGGCATTAGCCAGGCCGCAGCCAACGGGCATTGGGACGTTTGCGAGTTTTTGATCACAGAAGCTTGGCTGCGGGGTGCGTCGTGCGTGCGCGTTCAGCCGTTTCGGGGCCTTTGAGGAAGCGAGGTCCGCTCTGCTGGGGCATCTTGCACAAACGTGGACCAAGTGGTTTTGGGGCAAATGGTGTTGGCCGGCGCAAACACCAAGCGTATCAGCCAGAGGACAGACTGAGTTGCTTGCACTCTCTGGCAGGTCAAATGTGCCAAATGATCAAGTCGTTGTTGGATGTATGTTAATCTGTTTTGCATAAGCTCTGACTCATAGATAGCAATTAGGGGATGAGGTTGTATGACAGAGCCACCTGCGAAGAGGACTCAACCAACTCGTTTCTCAGGAAGGCGCAAAGGTGAACCAGCTGGACCAGCACCACCAGACCGCCCTGATGTGGGCGGCCTCGGAGGGTCACCTGGCGACCGTGCAGGGCCTCGTGAAGAAGGACGCCAAGGTACCCCTCGGCCTGACTTGGACTTGGGCGAACTTATGAAAAGTGTGGTTTTGGAAGGCCCTTGTCTAGGAGCTTGAAAGGGAACACCAAAAGAAGAGCCATCCATTTGGCGGGGTCCCCGGATTTTGACTCATCTCTGAATCATATTCGTCATGTGGACAAAGGTATGGGGGAAGTATTCATGGGACCATGTTTGGAAATGGTTGGGTTGAAGACATACAGGTATGCCTGAAAGTGTAGATTACCCGATGTGCGGCGAGGCCTTGTTTTTGCGTTCCCATCGGTGTGAGACACGTCAGTGCCTCCCAGTCCCTAGTTGGTCACGGTCGCGCTGGTCGCCTGGTATCAAACACTGTTTTTGTTATTTTTCTTCTCCAGTGCTACTTTTCCCCCTATCGACTCAGCGCGATCGTGTCCACCTCGGGGTGGGCTGGGGGGTGGGGGGTGGGGTGGGGGGCATTGTGTCAGCAAACGTGGTGCTTCTGGCATGATGGTGCATTGTGTTGGCCAAAGGCAGCTCGCATCCTGAAAGTGACAAACATTCATCAGTTGAGCCACCAACGAAAATAATTCTGTAGACACTTAGATGATGTCAGAAGTTCCAAGTTGTCCAAGATTCATGGAACTCAATCGATTGATCGTGAATGGCAGTGATTGAAAGCTTTCTTACTCCGCAGCTCCACCGCAATTGTTGGTGTGACAATAGTTCGGATGTGAATGTTCATTTGAAACAATGAACTTACCAATTCGTGTGGAGACAAAGTTTGGGAACTGCTTCGCCTAATGCTTTGTTGGGGGGATTGCCGAAATTCTTGCGCAGCTAGCCGAACAAAGCAGTTTTGCAGGTTGATGCCTGCTACGCTGCGAGCGAAATGAGCAAAACCCAACGTTTTTGACGGTGACTCCTCCGAAACACCAGGCGACTAGCGCAACCATGACCCCCTAGTTTCTGGGCTCACTTTCGATCGAGTCGGAGGCTCGTCGAGTCGACGGCCGGCCCATTTTGGAGCGAGGGCGGAACATTTATTCAGCCGTTCTCCTTGCTCATCGGGGAGCGCTCTTGCGACGAGCCGACAAACTCGCCGAGCCGAGCCAACTCTCAGGTGGACCAAGTCACGAAGCAGGGGAAGACGGCCCTGCTGCTGGCGGCGCAGTTCGGGCGGGAGGAGATCTGCAAGTTCTTGGTGGCCAAGGGCGCCAAGGTGGAGCACCAGGACGCGCGGGTCGGCTCTGATGTGCCGCCTTTCGAAACCATTTGGCTGATCCGGTCGTTCGGTGGATATGGCAACGGTCCAGCAAAGTTTTGCTGGACAGGTCGACATGCTGTAAGTGGACGGATCTTTTGCCTTGGGGGGGAGGATGCGGTACAGGGCTTGTCAGCCTCCATGAGAGCCATTCTGGAAGTGGAGGAAGCATTCCTAGCCACAAATGGCAATGTGAGATGATGTGAATTGGATTCTCGAATTCCCCGAAAGAAATATAAGCTGGCCATGTTGAATGTTTTTGAGTTCGCGGTCTCGGGATATGTCCCTCAAGAAACCATCAAGAAGGTACTTGAAGGAGACATCAACTGGTTTGATTTGTGATTCCTGTGACTATGTACATATATATATATGTATATATATATATATATATGATATTATATACCTGGACCCTGCAACAATGTTTTTTTTTTTCTCTTTCCCCAGTCTCCCCCGAAAATTTGACGCAGCACGCGGCACCCCTGAACACATGACGCGAAAGCAGCACACAAACAACGCGAAAGCAACGCAAACCGACGCCAAAGTTGTGTCACTGAGTTGCGTTTTGGGTCTTCGCCTGAAAAACGTGTTGATGCACCATTCCTGACACGTTGTGACACCCAGTATCTTCCAGCATGCCCATGTTTATCAGAGATGAGCTCATCAAGTGATTGCCGGGCTGCGTTACCGCCTGATTTACTTCCCTGCTATTAGACAGGAAGATGATGCAGTGAGCGCGCCGCAGGTCGGCCATAAATCGTTGCTGGATACTGGATTTAAGATGAAGGTTCGAGTGTTGGGTTGTGTTTTGCTCCTGCTTCTTCTGGCCAACCAAAGAGCTGAAATTTGGTTCACCTGTAAACAGTGGCGCAGGATGGTAAGAAAACAAACATATGGATACCTGCGCCGCCCTGCAAACAAACACTTGAGGAGGATCAAAGGTATCGCTGTTGTGCGACAGTGGCCTCAGCACTTGCTCTGCCAGGTCTTGCATCAGTCCCTTTGATCATTTCCTCTTAAGTGAGACCTGCGCAGCTTTGTTTCAAAGCTTGCGCGGGCTTGCTGTTTTAAAGCTGCAGTTTAGAGATCTTGGTGTTGCCTGACTCTCTGAAAGCTGGTTTATCTGGGACACCTACCACTTGGGTCCCCACTTTGCTGCGGCTCCCCGCGTTTTGGAGGCCTTGAAAGGACCAGTTTTGCGGCTTTTTGTTCCATATGGCTTTGGTTGTCAAAACCGTGTTGGGATCCCATTTTGGTTGGTAGGTGAATTCACCACCCATTTTAGGACCTATTTTAGTGGTTGGATTGAATCGGATGTTCACTGGCTAAATCCGGGCTTTGTATTTTGATCCAATATTTCTGGTGTGTTCCAGGACGAGGATGGGCAGACCTGCCTCTTCAGCGCGGTGCAGGCTGGGAACCCCAGCCTGGTGAAGAGCCTCATCGAGCTGAAGTGCCCCACCGAGGCCAAGACCAGCCGCGGCGCCGCTCGGCCTCGATCGACTCGATGGGCGCGGCGCTTGAGCCGCGAATGGAGCTTGAGCGGAGGGATGGCAGGAGGTTTGCCTGGGCTTTAGGCGTTATGGAGAAGCCAAAGGACACCAAGGCCATTCTGGGGGTTCCCTATTTTGACAGAAGGGGGCGTTGTCGCTTATCTCGCTTGACGCGACACCTTTTTGTGTCCGAATTTTTGCGTTTGCGCAGAGGACACTTACTTGAGCAGCTCGCATCTAGCAACTATTCAGTACCTCATATAAATACACTTTGCAACTCCAACTTTTCTCACAAATATAGAGCAAATTCATTACTTTGGTAGCTCCAGCTCAAACTTCCCGACATCTTAACACCAGAGAACATTGTTGTCTTCCCGTTTTCCAAACCGAAGTGTACATCGATGTTCCAGCTGGAGCCCGCAAATTCTGCAGGCTCTGCCATGCAAACTAGGCTAACCTGCCACTTCAAACAATCAACTGAGACACGCCGCCGTTATCCACGCACGGGTCAAGCGGGATATCCGGTAGCCGTGCCCCCTAGTGCTGAGTCTTGGCGATTTGCCCTCATCATGGTCGCAGACGGATGCACTCAAGTCTGACAAGCGCGAACCTCTCCAGCGAATGGTAGTAGGAAACCGCAAATATGTGACACCACAGGCACCACAGCTAGGTGCACCCTTACCATCTCCCACAGAAAGATGCCCATTTCTGGACCGTAGAACACACCCACAGGCACGCAAGCAGCAGGCACGCAGGCCCGCCCGCCCGCACAATTACACGCATACGCACACACCCACCCACCCAGCCAGCCAGCCAGCCGGCCGGCCGGCCAGCCAGACAGCCAGCCAGACAGCCACCCACACACACACACACACACACACACACATTGGGGCGAGGAAAACGTGCCTTCCAGATGTCTTCTCATGGCCAGTGGTTCAGGCATGTTTCAGCCCATGGAGGAACACCTCCCCTGCCAACATCATGAGCAAAACACTGCCTGGCAGGTCTAGCTAGGTCTTTGGATCTACATAGACTGTTCCATCTTTCTGGAAACGCACAGGTATTTTGAGTTTGTACTCTCCAAGAGGCTAGTTGTTCTTGCCTCATGGTCCCGGACAAATGGGGGGCGCCTTTCGGCCATTCTTTTCCGGTGGTGGCCGGGGGTGAGGAGGGTTTTTTCTTGGCGCTTTGGGCTGGAAACTCGTCCATCTGCCAGAGTGAGCGACAGAAACGTCAGCCCGGTCACTCTTCTTCCCTACTCCGAAGGTTTGGCGGGAAATTGTATTTGGATTGGGGCATTTGGCTTGGAGTCCAAGGATTTGGATTGGTTTGGCTGGAGTCGATGTCGCTTTCGGATTCCAAGGAGACGGCGCTGATCTGGGCGGCCATGAACCAGCAGCTGCTCTGTGTGCAGGCGCTGCTGGCGCACGGCGCCAACGTGCACACCACCGACGAGAACGGGCAGACGGCCCAGGACCATGCCGAAGGCGCGGGCATGGGGACGGGGAGGGGGGAGGGGGGGTGGAGTCGAGGATGGGGAGGGGTACAAGGAGGGTGGTCTCTTTGCTTTTTTCCGGAGGGCGCCATTTTTTCTGGTTGGTTTCAGGGGAAGATGAAAGGGAAGCCGCCAACTTCGGGGTTTCCCTACTTTGAGACAAATCCATGTGGGGTGGTTGAAAGTGGGCCCTGGTAATTTGGGCTGCTCTACGAGAGGAAACAGGGCCAGGTTGGACATCAGCTGATTTGGGGAAGGCGTGCTCCTTGTGAGCCATTTGGACGTGAAGTGGGAGGCAACGGACGCTGAGGCGATTCTTTCCTGCGGCACAGTGGATGGCAGTATTCGGGTGGGACATTAGCTCTTTGTTCCAGTGAAGTCCGTAAGGTTAAGGTTGTCACTGGCTCCTTCAATATTGGAAGCGGAAGGCCGAGGGCTGAAATGGCATGGGTTCAGGGAGACACGTATTGTGAAGGAGTAGGGGTCAGTTGATAGATTGGATGCGGCGATCTTTTTCATCATAGGCTCCACTCAAAATGGGTGGACGTGCAGGGGAATGAGACCTCGCAAGGCACCCTGAACAGCCACGTCGTGGAGGTGCTGCGCGAGGCTGCCAAAAGTCAGTCCAAGAAAGACGACGAGTGAGGCTTGAGCCAAAGCCGTTCCGAGCAATCCTTTCGCTGTGCATGATCTCACCCTGGGACACTGTGACTGTGCTGATCTCGAAAAGAGACGAGCGGTTTGGCGTGTCCTCTCCTTAGGGATCCTCTGCCGCAGAAGCAAATCGATCGATTTGGGAATTCCCCGAATGTCAGAAGTTGAGAGTTTATCTCAGACTCCCCTCATTTTGGTTTGAAAAGAACACATTGCGAGACGTCCTTAACTTCGACACATCCCTCCGTGCACTCCAGCTCTCGTGAGTTGTCCTAACTTTGACCCCTGGTTTGGGGTGAGTCTTGATCCTTGCAAGGGTGGCAGAATAAGGGTCTTGATGATTCGCGGCTGCTTGCCGCAATCTTTCTTGTGGTTGTACATACCAATTCACTGTGTGCAGGCCTGTTGTGGGAAATGTTCAACTGCCACAGCCTCATGGAGATAGAGTTTTCCCAGGCAGGATACCTCAATTTCTCAGTTTTGAACAGACGGATAGGTAGACAGGCAGGGATGTGTTTTTTCCTGCCAATAAATGGATCTCAACAGGTGTCCTTCTGACTCCCTTCAAACCAAATCCCACTCAAATGAAGCTGGCCCAAACGGTGATGCTTTTGTCACCCAAAAGGACACTATAGTGGGTCCTTGTTCACCTTAGATCCATGACCCGTGACCCTTTGTCTCCTGGACTCTGAATCAGCCGGCCCCTTTCAGCTTGGAGCTTGCACACGGAACCAGTCTGAAGTCAAAAGGATTGATTTCCTTCGTGATACTGTGGATGGACAAAATCCTGCGCCACTTTGAAACCATGGGAATCCATTGTATGTTGATATTTACAGTGGAATCATCATTCCAGGGTTTCTTAGGTGGTGCAGGATATCGTCCATCCATAGTAGCCCCGGGCAAACCGGCGAATTCAGGCGCCCTTCTGCCCCAGTGCGTTCGAAATCGCCGCGCCCAGGGTGGCGCACGTGATGGACCTGACCGCAGATGACTCGGATGGTGCCGAGGTCCTTGGACATGGAAACAGGGCGTCGAGGGAGAGCAAAACAGCCGGGAGTTTCAATCGCTGACGAGAATCTGGGTACATTCGGGCGACTTTACCGTGTCTTTGAACAATGTCCCAGAGCTTCCCAAATGTGCTTGGGCTCAGGCATGACGAGTCTCGTTCAACAGACTCACATTTGCAAAGCAATTATCAACAACTACCAAAGTTATGGCGGTGATTGGGACAGTTCAGAATGGGGCGCATGTGCTGCAAGAGATCCAAGCCAAGGGTAGCCCAGAAATTCAGTGGCTCCCTTTGTCCCGTTGTGTTTGTGGGTCTTCCACCAACATGGGCAGCCGCAAGAAGAGCTCGCCTTCTCCTTGTGCAGATTGGTTGGAGGAGCTGGTGATGGACGATGTGCCAAAGAAGTTTGACTTGCCAGGTACGCCTCAGACTCTTGTCAGCAGCTTGACGTGCCAATAGGAAACCTGTGTTATCAATAGGCTTCGCCTTCATGCTGTGGATGGATGAAACCCCGCACCACTTTGAAACCATGGGATACCATTGTTGGTTGGTAATTGCAGGAGAATCTCTCGGGTGGTGCAGGATTTTCCATCCACAGTAGCATGTTGGGAAATAGTAAAGCCACACATCTCGGAGAGTTCTGTTTACCTGTTTGTAATTTCCGAGTTAGTGTGATGTGTTTCGACTTGCAAGTCCGCAGCATGTCGGGTGTAGTTAAGTACTGAGCTGCCGGGTGCATTTGTTTCCTTCCAGCGCTGACAAATTTTCCCCCGAACTTTGGGCCTCCATGTTGGCGCTTCCTTGTTGCGGGTAGCAACATTGGACATCGGCAGACTTGTTGTCCTACGTTCCTTCTCGCCGGCATGAAGTCGTATTGAAACCCCTTGGCAAGGTATTGCGCGTCGGGTTGGATGCTCTGTCTTGGTTTGTTGGGACTGGTTGAGCTGGCTGGTTGGTCGGGCATGGCATCGGGACCAGGTCGACTTTAGTATCTCGTTTCTGGAAACCAGGAATTGGGGCTTGCAGGATTCGCATGCTTTGCGTTGGGGGGGGCATGGGCGTTGTCTTTGGGGGGCAGTTGACAACAGCACGAAACACATCTGATGTTAACTTCTACAAGAAGATATCAGCTGTGCTCTTCAAGGGCTGCGTTTGTGGCCTTTTGGACATTTCCATCCTTTCCGTCCAAACTTATCAGACATCAAATCATTTGTAGCTTTGCTCATTTTGCGTAGTGGCAGCTTGAGAAGCCCGGGCTGTCAGGGTCCGACTTGGTAGATTGTATTTGGGTAAAGCAGCAGATGCGACAATTTTGAGTAATATATATTTCAATAATCTGGCTTGCAGACGGTTGTTTGGTGTGTGCCATTGACATCACTGCCCAACCTGCCGAGATGTTGCTAGCTGATGATGTGCTTGCCGTGCAGGTGCCATTGACCTCGAGATTTGCTTGAGAACTCCATTGCCCGCCAAGTGGCAGTTTGGGACCCTGGGTTGGGGGTTCTGTGCCCCAGACTTCTTGTTTTTTTGGTTTAATAAACGCAGCCTCCGAGCGAACACGGCAGTTTTTCCCCCAATTGCGGAAAAAAAGGAAACACGGATGCTGCAGATGTACCTTGACGGGTGAAGGGTGTTGCAACTCCCAGCCCTGAGGCTCAGGACACAAGCGGCACCGGAGCCAGCCAGAGGCAGTGAGGAGGAGTGACTCGGATTCAGCCGTTCAGTGGCCTCGGCGGGGCACGCTGGCCTCGGCTTAGCAAGTCGCAAGGGGCTTGGTGCAGGGACCCTACGACCGCACGCGTTGATGGTCTTCCTGCCCTAACGGTTTCCTGCAGAGACGCTCAGCAGTTCTTGTTTGGGGAAGGGGGGTGGCGGCTTAGTACTTTTCATGTATCTTAGTTTGGCGAGCTCGCCGCATGAAGTTTTGAACATGCCTGGTGTGTACTCAGAAAGTGCATGTGTGCCCTGGAGGTGATTGTTAGATTCAACATGATCGCCTGAAGCGATCTTTGGGATGCCAACGTGCAGGCCGACGTTGGGAGAAAACTTCATTACTGTAAACGCTGCAGTCTAACGGGAGGTAGGAATGAGGGAGCAACTTCCGCGAAGTGGGCGGCTACGCCACTGGTGCCAGGAGGTGCACGTGGAGATGGAGAAGCGTCCTTCCAAGGCACTGGGCGCGGGGCAGCTTTTGGGTGTCTCGGGATTTCTCGACAGTCGGCCACATAGGTGGCACGCTAGGCGTCAAGGAGAGGTTCTCTCGTCTCGCAGGACGAGAAAGCCTGACTCATGTTCGCTGGGATCCATACCCGAAGACTGAGAAATCAATGGCAGATATTTTCGATTTCTGAACGAAGTGTTCCTTGGGACATGACACCAATGGCAGACAAACACTCCAGTTGAGAATGCCAGCCAGCAGCATGCAGCAGCGCCGTGTGAGGTCTCGGTGAATGCCAGCTTGCTGAAAGGCGGGCTGGGCTGCGTTTTGCCCTGACCAGGATCTGCAGCCAGGCCATTGGGTGCAGACACTCCCCTGGCAACTAGAACCTAACAGCATCCGAACAAAGTCCTGTTATCATAGTTGTCAGACACGTATTCCCTTAAGTGCACGGTCAACAGCGGACAATGTAACATGCGAGTTCCGAAGCCCCCTCAAAATGAATTTCAACTGATACGCGTCAGTCAGAATCCTGAAGAGGTTGGATGCTTGAGGGCATGATCACCCTGTCTCCGGCTGCTGGTCCGACCAACCTTAAGTGGAGTATCCAGTTCCGGGGGCGATGGTATCTGAATAACATGCTCACAACATATGCACCATTGACGTCTGCATTGACCAGTACCTTTTGCCCACATGGGTGGTTTCCCTTCGCTTTCTTTAACATCCTTCCCCAAAAGCGTACCTTGCAAAAAGGGACAAACCCATTTCTTTTGATGGTGCTTAGCAGGGAATGAGTTGGAATGACCCCTATACACCATCCAACTGGGTGGTTTCCTTTATGGTTTCCTTTAAGACCCCTGGGTTCATTCCCTCCTTGCCTACCTCTCGCACCAGCAAGCCTTGGGGGGTGGAGGCCGGATTTTCCGCAAAGCCGCCAGGCCCCATGGCGGAGTGCTGCATCTGCTTCGCAGAGTTGCCTTCCGCGCCGGTGTGCATGCCTCTCGGTGCTTCAAGGGCGGGTGGAAGGAGGGTTAATGGACCCAGAAAACTGCGGATTTCCGGAGCACCATTAAAAGCCAGCACCAGATGGGAAGAGCTGGGCATGCTGAGTCGTTTGCAGCTTGGCAATGCTTATGTTCTCCCACATTAGTTCTCCCAACCCATCGAGATGCTGGCAGCCTGAATTTGTGTGATTAACAGACATGATGACACCGCACACGTTGAACGCTTACTGACAGGCGCAGCGCCCGCATCAACAAGCATGAGGATCTTTGGGCTTTTAAGTGATGATGTCGTCATCCTTGTTGTTGTCGTCAGTGTGATCGCGTTTGTGGTTGCAACTGCTGCTTGCAGCTTTTGTTCCTGCTGCCGTTGCTGCTGTTGCGGTTGTTGCCGCTGTTGCCGCTGCTGCCGCTTCCGCTGCTGCTGTTGTTGCTGCTGCTGCTGCTGCTGCTGCTGCTGTTGCTATTGCTGCTGCTGCTGCTGTTGTTGCTGTTGCTGTTGCTGTTGCTGTTGCTGTTGCTGTTGCTGTTGCTGTTGCTGTTGCTGTTGCTGTTGCTGTTGCTGTTGCTGTTGCTGTTGCTGTTGCTGTTGCTGTTGCTGTTGCTGTTGCTGTTGTTGTTGTTGTTGTTGTTGTTGTTGTTGTTGTTGTTGTTGTTGTTGTTGTTGTTGTTGTCGTTATCGTTGTTGTTGTCGTTGTTGTCGTTGTTGGCGTTGTTGTCTTTGTCGTTGTCGTTGTCGTTGTCGTTGTCGTTGTCGTTGTCGTTGTCGTTGTCGTTGTCGTTGTCGTTGTCGTTGTCGTTGTCGTTGTCGTTGTGGTGGTCGTGGTCGTGGTCGTGGTCGTGGTCGTGGTCCTGGTCGTCGTCGTCGTCGTCGTCGTCGTCGTTCGTCGTTGTCGTTGTCGT